CTCCTGTGCACTGCATTGGCTTCAGACAGGAGCTCCATGGAGAAACAGCTGGCCCGAGGCACCGGGCCATGTCCCTGCCCCTGCAGGCTGCCCATCCTGCTCCCCTCACAGCCGGCCAGTGCTCAGGCACAGCTCCCAGGGACTGGTCAGCAGCTCCAGCCACACAGCACTCTGCAGGACAGGCAGGGGCAGCCCCAGCTCTGTGTTGACCCCACCACTCACCACCACCGCCACCCAGACCACAAGCCTCTGGCTGTCCCGCCTGCTGGCCCCTACCTGTCTGTCTTCCCAGCACGACGGCCTGGGGAGCTTGCCCACTGCAGGCCCTGCCTCGCCCACCTCTGACCCCGGGGAGGGCTCTGCGGTCTGCACGCCAGCGGGGACTTGCCATCTTCTGCGGGGCTCGGGCACTGAGGCAGCAGACTCTGCTTTCAAAGCCTCTGGGTTTCTGGGGACCTGCCCTTCGGAGGATCCTGCTCCCAGGTGACAGCAAGAGGTGTCACTCAAACAGGAGACAGTGAAGGGGGACTCAGGAGTGCACTCTGCCCACCAGGGGCCCCCGCTGATGGCCCTCTTGGGGCTGATGCAATCCCAGCCTCCTGAAAGCGAGAGTCCCCTAACTCAGGTTTAACTCAGGGTCAGAATCCCGGAGTTAGGTACCCTCTAGTATATCAGTTACATGCATCCTAGTTGATTTTTGCCCCCTTTTCTAGATAAACTATTTATTAAAATATTTTTATTTAAGGAATAATATTTTGTACTTATTTATTGAGCAGGCTGGAGCGATAGCACAGTGGGTAGTATGTCTGCCTTGCACAAGGCCGACCCTCACCTAATTCCTCTGTCCCTCTTGGAGAGTCTGGCAAGCTACCGAGAGTATCCTGCCCACATGGCAGAGCCTGGCAAGCTCCCCGTGGCGTATTCGACAGGCCAAAAAGAGTAACAACAAGTCTCACAATGGAGACTTACTGGTGCCCACTCGAGCAAATCATGACAGTGCTACAGTGCTACAGAATCCCTCAAGAGTCAGGGTTTACACAGCGGTGGAGGGGCAGGGAGGGTGAGGGTCCATGCTCCCCGTGGACACATCTGGTCTCAGTCCCTTCAAGGGTAGCACATCCAAAACGCAACTCCAGGCAGCACGGTCATTCAGCACGAAAGCTGCCAGCGGCCAAGCCTGTCCCCCACGCTGTGTGTGGGCTGGTCACAGGGGCACAGAAGCTGACTGGCCGTTCAGGAGCTGGGTTTGGAAGAGGTGCTGCTAAGACAAGGTTCCTGGCCGGCCATCCACAATAAGAGTCAGGACAAACTTGCAGGGCTGGAGGCAGAGATGAGGGCCTAGCGCCCAAGCATTTATATTTGTGCTTAATACAATTCGTGCTCAAACAATCAGCACACGCAAACTTTTCTCAAGACTTGAAGGTGAAAAGAAACAACAGAAGTATCAGAGATACTGTCTGGGTGGGAGACATATCCCTGGATATGTAACTCAAGCCCCAGCTTTGTGGAAAATGTAGGGACGGTGTCTACAAAGAAGCAGTGGGAAGTGGCCTCACTGCTCAATCCCAGGAGGCGTAAGAGAAGAGTCCAGAAACTTCTGGGAGGGCCTGAGGCTCGACCACACACACCTCTGGATTTAGGTCCCACTGATGGTCTGACCATCACTGCTCAGGCCAACGGGTCTCACTGATTTCAAGTGAGAACACTTGCTGGGAAAGCGACATGGTCAGCGGCCTCTTACGGGAAAGTCCCGCCAGGACAGCGGAGAGATGACGTCATGGAGAAGTGCCACTGTTCTGGGTTTACCAGTCACGCTGACTCAGCACTTGTGACATGCAGAGTTCCTGGCCCCCTCAGTGGGACCACAGGCTCCTCCCCTCACAGAGGCCATGGGAGTGGGGAGGGGGGATCAAAGTCATCCACCGAGGGCTGAGCTCTTGCGCAGACCCCACCCACGGTGAGCAGCCAGAGCCAGAAGCAGGTCCACAGGCTGGCTCCTGCTCCCAGGCCTGGGGATGAGATAAGGCTGGGAGTGACAGTGCAAGGCCAGGCAGTCACTAGCCCCAGAGCTGGGGACAGGCTGGCAGCTCCTAGATAACAGGATCTGCTGGGGCAGCCCCGCAAGTCCCTGAGGCAGGCGGGGGAAGCAGCGAGGGAGAAGAGCAGGCCTGGGTTCTGATTTACAGAGAAGGGGGGTGGGGGAAGGCGGATGCATTGGTGATTTTACCAGAACTTCGCTCTTCAAGAGGAATGGAAAGGGTCCCACTGTGATAGCAGAAATCCCATAAAGATATGGAGCCCCTGTCCTGTTATTCTGTCTGCCACCGAAAAGTGAGCTCAACAGATACCTGTCTTCTGATTTATTCTTAAGGTTTTTTTTTTTAAAGAAAAAGGTGAATTATTCTAAAAGACATGAAGCCCCTAGGAATAATATTTGGCTTCAGTCCAAGGAGAGACAGTCAAACTCAACTTTCAGGTTCATTCACGAGAAGACCTTGCTTGGTTAGGCTTTAAGCATATGGGGAGGGGGGGATAATGGCTCTGGGCCACAGCTGGCAGCACCCAACAGGCCTTACAAGGCAAGGTCAGCCAGTGTGAGGCAAGGGTCTTAACCCTGATCCGGGCTCTCAGGCCCCTCAGTGAGGCTGTAAGGAAACCGTCTTCACAACCTGTCCTAGCAGCTATAACAGACACAATGTGTTTTCACAGGTTTCATCGGGGTGTGACATCTGACAAGACCCACACTGTGTTCAGCAGCCCTGACTCAGTTTACCACAAAACAGACAGACAGACAGACTGCTGGGTGCAGCCAGAGCCTTAGTCCCCTGGGCCCCTTGGTGCTCTTCCTGCTGGGGCCCTGGGCAGCTGGGGTCAGGAAGCCCACATGGGGTTCTCAAGGCACAGGCGTGAGGCAGTGCTGTGTGCCAGGATACAGATCTCTGGGGCTGTGCATGCCCGTCTGACCTCAGCGATGGACCCATGACACAGGGCTTTCAAGACACCATCCCTCTCCACGCACACACTTGGGCAAGATGTTTGTTTCATAGCGTTCATCTGTTAGGGGGGCCCAGAGATGGGCACTCTGAAGCCTGCATGTGCAGTTCCACCACCACTGGCCAGTGCCCCAGTGGTTTCTGTGACCCACAACAAACGACTCCCTACCAACCCCCACCAGGCAGAAGCAGGACCTGGTTCTGAGTTAACTGCACATCCCTCCCCTGCCCCAGGCCACCATCACTTCCACTAACTCACCCTAAACATAGGTTTAGCCCCTGGAGCTAACCCCTGGAGAGGCCTGTAAGGTCTGCCCTGGAGCACTCTCTCCTATAAACCCACTTCAGCCCAATTCTCCTTTGGACTGTTTCTTCCTTTCCATGACCCTTCCCAGGCCTTTCAGAAATCACTCTCTCAACTCCACCGACAGAAGCCAGTGAAGCAACCAACACGACAGGGCAGAGCCTACAGATGGAGTCAGGGCTTGTTATTTCCAAGAGCCAATTTTGAGATTAGCAGATGATTTGTTTTGTTCCCAGCCTCCTGGCACACAATTAGGGAGCCACGTTCCTTCTGAGCCCGTGTAGGGCACACAACGGAGACAAGGAGTTTCAGGACAATTAGCCCAGCACATGGCTCAGCTGACGAGTCTGCAGAGACCAGACTGCTTCCCTCAGAGTGCGGGGCTGGGAAAGGGACAGCACACAGGTCACTGCCAGGCCAGGCCCCACAACCACCGCTGCTGGATTACAGTTGGCCATCGAACGCGGGAGGTGGGAGAAAGCACATGCCACTCACTTATTTTGTGATTACACACACAGCTGCCCATAAGAGGTAGTCTCAATCAGGGCTGGAGCAATAGCACAGCAGGTAGAGCATTTGCTTTGCACGTGGCCGACCTGGGTTCGATTCCCAGCATCCCATACAGTCTCCTGAGCACCGCCAGGAGTAATTCCTGAGTGCAAAGCCAGGAGGAACCCCTGTGCATTGCTGGGTGTGACCCAAAGAGAGAGAGAGAAAAAAAGAGGAAGTTTCAAGCCCAGGCACCAATGTGGCTTTGAGCAGAGTAAAGGCAGCAGCTGGGACCACCATCTTCCACCTTGATGTCCAACGGACAGACCCAGTGAGGGACACTGACCTCCCCAGCCCAGTGGTCTGGCCCTGCCCAGCACACCACCATCAGTACCACAGGAACCCTGAGCTCACTCTTCCTCACTCACTAGCCCCTTCAGCTCAGACCCCCACACCCCTATGGCCGCCTACCCTGGGCGTCATTCAGACCCTGTATCTTGCCTGCTTCCTGAGAAGAGCAGCCTGAGCCCCACAGCCCCTGGGGACCTGAGTCATCGTCCTGCCTGCCACCACACCCTTATCTGCTGCCTCTGGCCCCAAACGAAGGCAGCTCCCAGCTGGGCGACACAGAGCCAGCCCTGCAGACACCACCCCTGGTCCTGGGGTACCACCCGGCCTGCAGACACCCACCCTCGTCCTGGGGTCTCCCCTGGCCTGCAGGCTGCTCCAAGCTGATGGTCACACCCAGTGGCACCTGGCGCGTGCACCTCAGTTTTCAGTGGGTTTGCAGGCTCTCACTGGTGGGATGTTGGGGGGTCACAGGCCACACATCTGCCCCCCACCACTCCACATCCCACACCACCAGGGCCTTGCGCTCAGGGGACCCTCTATCTCGTGAGCACTTGTCCGCTCTCGGGAGACCTTCGACCTCACCAGCATCGGCATGCCTCCCCTCTGCCGTCCCCTCCGCAGGCCGGCAACACCGACCTGCACGGCCAGGCCAGGGCCGCCAGCTCCTCCCGCAGCCCAGCCGGTACCGACCCCGCCCGCAGCCCTATCTCCTCGCCACAGGGCACGGCCTGTTCTTGATCTGGCGCCAGACTGGCTGGGCTAGAAAAGCCAAGTCGGGAAAGGCCCTGAGACAGCCCCGGCCGGCCGCCGGGGGCGGGGGGGTGCGGCCCGGAGGGGTGCGCTGGGAGCCCCGGGCGCGCGGCATGGCCTCGGGGGCGCCCGGGGAGCGGCTGCGGGAGGAGGCGCGGTGCCCCGTGTGCCTGGACTTCCTGCAGGAGCCGGTGAGCGTGGACTGCGGCCACAGCTTCTGCCTGCGCTGCATCTCCGAGTTCTGCGAGCGCGCCGAGCCCGGGCCCAGCGGCCGCTTCTCCTGCCCGCAGTGCCGCGCGCCCTTCGCGCGCGCCGGGTTCCGGCCCAACCGGCAGCTGGCGGGGCTGGTGGAGCGCGTGCGGCAGCTGGCGCTGGGCGCGGGCCCGGCGGGCGCGGGGCGCTGCGCCCGCCACGGCGAGGAGCTCGGCCGCTTCTGCCACGACGACCAGGCGCCCCTGTGCTGGGTGTGCGACGCGGAGCCCGAGCACCGGGGCCACCGCACCGCGCCGCTGCAGGAGGCGGCCCGCGTCCACCAGGTGCGCGGGGCCCGCGCGGGAGGGAGAGGAAGGAGCGGGGGTGGGCAGCCCGAGTGCACGGCGAGCTCCTCCCGGTGGCCCGCACTGACGACCACTGGCCACCGGCCGGCCTTGCCCTGGATGTGGGACGCTCCCCTCTCCGGAACGCGCCCCGCGTCCCGGGTAGGGACCCCTCTTCCGAAGCCACCTGCCTTGGAGCCCGTGAAGCGAGGCTGGCGGTGGCTCCTCCTGGCAGAGCTGGTCGGGGGCTTCCCGGGGCACCCCTTGCGCCCCCGCACTTCTCAGCACACAGACACGCGCGAGGCTTGCTTCGCCGGGGGTTCCTCGCTGGACCTATCGAGGACTCAGGTCCCTTGAGATTTTTCCCTTCATCTGCCTGGCGCTGCCCCGCACAGAGCAGAGGGTGCCCCAGCTCCCAGCCGGCTCCATGTGCCAGGGGCCATGGTCCCACGTCGTGTTCCCAGAGCAGGGCACCCGCCAAGCTCCCTTTCTCACCACACGCTGCCTCCCTGCTGGATTCCTGTCCCTCGCCCCCACACGCAGCAGCAGCAGCGGCAGACACTTCGCGAGACCATTCCCATCCGTCCTTGCCTCTATAGACGCCCCCTGTGCCCTTCATGCAGAGCAAACCACACCCAGTGTGTAGGTGCTGGGACGGTATGTAAAAGCAACTCACACACTTTGCCGCGTTCTCTGGGAATGAAACGCATGTCCCTGCCCTTCAAAGGGCATCAAGGGTTGGGACTAAAGTGAAAGTGCAGCGGGTAGGGTGTTTGGCAGCGGGTAGCACCTGCCAAACCAGGTTTCATCCCCAGCCTCCCATATGGTCCCTCCAGCACTGCCAAGAGTAATTCCTGAGTACAGAGCCAGAAGTTACCCCTGAGCGTTGACAGGTGTGGCCCAAAAACTGAAAAACAAAACAAAGGGTCTCAGGGGCTGAAACCTGTCCCCCTTTTCTACTGTTTTACTCCTAAGAGTTAGAACGTTCTCTACTTCTTTCTCATTTCACAAAGAATAGCCTGAATGACTTCTTATGGCAAGCAGTGGAGAGCTTCCTGGATTCACAAGCAAAGATAATGTATCATCTTAGCAAACAGAAATGTACAGAGTTAAAAAGGAAAATGTACAGATGTGGGGCTGGGGATGGCACAGTAGGCGGTGCACTTGCCTCGAACGTAGCCAACCCTTGTCCAATACCTGGCACCACATATGGTTCTGTACCTCCCCCCTCCACTCCCGTAGCGAGTAAGCCCTGAGCACTGCCAGGTGTAGACCCAAATTAAAAAGAAGAAGAAGCGTACACATATACAGAGCTGCACCCCTTTACCCCGAGCCCCGGCAGACCTTCCATCCCTCAGATACTGTCAAGGATCCCCCCCTTGGATTTCCTGTGTTTCTACAAGCACATTTGTTTCCAGAGTTGCTGTCAGGTGTCAGACACTTGACACCATGTGACTGTGTCACTGCAGGCATCAACTTCACTGCGATTCTGCAATGCCTCTTAGGTTCCGCCTGTTAAACACATGGTTGGTCTGTCATTCTCTTCGCACACTCTGGGCATGGCTTCACTGTTTGAGCTCCTGCTCAGTGAGGACACTGCGGGGTGATGCTCTGCTCTTAGCTGGCATCAGCCTGCAGATCAGAGTTGAGTTCCTTAGGAGCTGGATGTTGGGGCTGGAGCAATAGCATAGCAGGTAGGGTGTTTGCCTTGCACACGGCCGACCTGGGTTCGATTCCCAGCATCCCATATGGTCCCCCGAGCACCGCCAGGAGTGATTCCTGAGTGTATGAACCAGAAGTAACTCCTCTGCATTGCCGGGTGTGACCCAAAAGAGCAAAAATGAAAAAAAAGAAGCTGGATATTTCTAGGACCAATTCTGCTGACCCCCACGCTTAGACACCGCCAGTGTGGCAAGTACTGAAGAAGGTATGTCTGCCCCCGAACAGGCGAAGCTGCAGATGGCCTTGGAAGTGGTGAGGAAAGATATGCAGGAGGCCTTGGCTCAGGAGACCAACGTGGGCAAGAAAACCATCATCTGGAAGGTCAGTGAACACATGACCTCAGGGCATCCCAGGGTGTATGGGCAGCCATAGCTGGGCACTGGCACTGGGCACCAGCAGAGGCATGGGGTATGGTGACACTGGACACCAGCAGTGGCCATGGGGCATGGTGGCCCTGGCACCAGAGTGGGCATGGGCACGGTGACTTTGGGCATGACCCCACGGGCTGCCATCTCTATGCCCAGGAGAAGGTGGAGACGCAGAGGCAGCGCTTCCGGCTGGAGTTTGAGAAGTACCGTGGCTTCCTGGCGCAGGAGGAGCAGCTGCAGCTGCGGAGGCTGGAGGAGGAGGAGCGCACCACACTAAGCCGCCTGCGGGACAGCAAGGGGCGCCTGGGGCAGCGGGGTCGGGCGCTGCGGGAGCTGGCCGAGGAGCTGGAGGAGCGCAGCCAGCGCCCTGCCCTCGGCTTGCTGGAGGTGAGGCCTTGCACAGCACCGCGGGGCAGGCCTACTGCAGACAGTCTGTCTCTGTGTCCCGGCAGGGTCAGCTCTGGAACTGGCCTGTGGCCCAGGCCTGCCCCACAGTGAGGACGGGACTCACGGGGACCCAGGCAGCCTGGCCACAGTCTCATTTGGGAGCTGGGAGATGACAAGCACCAGGACACAGCTGCTGTTAGTCCTTCCTTGGAGATGCGTGGGAGCCTGAGTGTGTCCAAAGCGCTGCAAGGGAGGGTGTGGCTGTGGGGACCCTGACAGGGCCCTGCCTGCAGGTGGACAAGGCTCACACCGAGACTCCTCTCCTGGATGCTCAGTCAGGTCTTTGCTTCCTGAGAAACAAGTGACCACACTGAGCACCTCTCAGCACAAAGACACTGAGGCCACTGACCAGACCCGAGCTAGTAAAGAGTCCCCAGGAACCGAGTCACACTCTTACCCCACACCTCCAGTGACTGGCCTTGGGGAGGCCGAGGCCACTGGTGCAGAAAGCAGGGCCGCCTTCTGCTGCAGGGCCCTGCCCAGAATGACAGCAGGGCTGTCTGCCACTGAGTGCTGCTGTTGCCACTGCCATGCTTCCCAGGCTGACCCCACCCGGGGCTCCAGCCTTTCTTACTCACACCATACAGGTGGCCTTCCGTGCTTCTTTGGTTAAGCTCTACAAGAATGCGGGGCCCATCCCCACCCCAGTTCTCTCTGCCCGCACTGCATGGCACTTCCTGCGCTGGCCTGATTCAGGGTGAACCATTCACGTACAGTCATGGCTCTGCTCTCGGGGTTCAGCAAAAACCTGACCGGCCATTGGATACAGGCGAGGAACGCCAGCCCAATTCTGTCTTCACTAAGTAGGCAGCCGATGTCTCCTCGGCCTTAACTGAGTCCTTTTCAGCAGTTTCAAGGGTCACAGGGGCCAGGCTGGGGCCCAGTGCAGAGGGGCCCACACAGTCTTTCTCTCCTTTACAGGGCGTGCAGGAGGTGCTGACCCGGTAGGTGGACCTGTGCTGGGGGCTGGGAGGGCAGCTGGTTGCGAGGCCCCCTGTCCCAAATTGCCCTGAGACTCAGTCTGCACTGTTCCCAGAAGCCACAGTGTCCCGCGGCCAGAGCCGGAGACCATCACCATGGAGCTGAGGACCATGTGTCGCATCCCTGGCATGCGGGAGATGCTGAAGAAGTTTCAAGGTGGGCGGGGCCACAGGGCAGGGCTGGGCTGCAAGGTGCAGCGGGGGCTGTCAGGGTGCCCACAGCTGACTGCTTAAACCTGCCTGCCGTGATGTGGAGCACCTGGACCCGGTTTTTCCTGGGGGGAGGCAGCTCCCATGCCCACCATCTCCCCTAGGTTCACCACAGGCACCCACTGCCCCTTCCTGCAGCTCACCTCAGGAAGAGGGGGTTGGAGGAGTCTGCTGCTGCCTGGAACCAGAGTCCCCAAACGTGGGGCAGATCTAAGTGAGCCACATTCCCTGTCCAGTTCTGGTGGGCTTGATTCTGACATGGGCCACTGAGTCCCACACACGCACTGGACACAGCAGTGTGCTGGAAGGCGGCTCCACGCCGGGCTGCTCTGGAAGCTTCCAGGTGTGAGTCCACATCAATGAGACCCCGGCCGTGAGTAGATGCCACATAGGCCCCAAGAGAGGTCCAGCTCCACACTGAAGCGAGAAGGCCCTGTGGGCCATGGATGGATATGAGAGGAATCAAAATGCCCCAAGGACAGTGTTTCAGGGAGGTGGCAATGAGCCAACGCCATAGAGGGCAGTGAGACACACTAAAGCGATAAAATGCTCAGAGTGGGGGCGGGGGCGTGGGTAAAACACCGACCTTCTGTGGAGCTGCTGGGAGTGGAAGGAGCCCAGCTTCTCTCTGGGTCGAATCTTGCTGAGCTCCTGGCAGTCTCTTTGTGCCCTCAGGGATCCAACTGTTTCTCTCCACAGTCGATGTCAAGTTGGACCCCATCACGGCGCACCCCAGCCTGCTGCTGACGGCTGACCTGCGCAGAGTGCAGGACGGGGAGCTGTGGAGAGACGTCCCCAGCAACCCCGAGCGCTTTGACACCTGGCCCTGCGTCCTGGGCCTGCAGAGCTTCTCGTCAGGGAGGCACTACTGGGAGGTGGCGGTGGGCGAGCGGGCAGAGTGGGGACTGGGAGTCTGTCAGGACTCAGTGCTGAGGAAGGGGGAGACCACACCCTCTCCCGAGAACGGGGTCTGGGCCATGTGGCTGCTGAAAGGGAACGAGTACATGGTCCTGGCCTCCCCCTCCGTGCCCCTGCTGCACCTGGAGCGGCCGCGCCGCATCGGGATCTTCCTGGACTACGAAGCCGGCGAGGTCTCCTTCTACAACGTCACCACCGGCGCTTACATCTACACGTTCAACCAGCTCTTCTCGGGCCTTCTCCGGCCCTACTTCTTCATCTGTGACACGACGCCTCTCATCTTGCCCCCTCTGTCAGAGGCTGAGACACAAACTCGGGCACCGGCCTCCAGGGCTGCTCTTGACCCAGCCCGTCACGTGCAGGAAGAATCTTCCTGAAGTTCTGTTCCCATGTGGGAAGCCGGGCGGTGGTTCCTGCAGGGCAGCAGACAGGGATCCTCCCCTGGAGAGGCAGAGCAGCACAGCACGGACGTCAGAAACGGCTCTCTGCACTTGCGCAATGCAGTGCCACACAGTGCCCACGAACTTCTCTGCAACAGAATGGCCCTGACTGACACACAGTTACCACCATCCCCTGTCCCTTCGAACACCCCTTCACTCAGGTCTGCCGTGTGTTAAGGCGGTGGAATGGTTCAGAGCGGTCCAGAATCTTCCTATCATACCTATCTGATACCTAAGAGCCTATCTGCTCTCTCCTCTGCCCTTTCTCTTTCCTCCTCTCCTTTCTTCCTCCCAACCTTTCCTCCCCTCCCTTCCCTCCTCCCCTCTCCTCCCCTTCTCCTCTTCTCTCTCTGCCTCTGTGTACCTATGCTCTTGTTCATGCTCATTAGTTGTTTATAATTATATTTTCTTCTGTAGTAATATATTCTGAAACATTTTCTATGTCTGATACCTATGGCTATAACTGATAACTTGCCAAATCCTCCTAATTCTGGGATTGAAATTTGAAAACTGAAATTCAATGATCTGAATTTGACACTACTGATTTACAGAGCATACCTGTGTCACTTTCAATATTTTTCTTTTGAGTTTTTGATACATATACTACCATCAAATACCTCAGAATCCTGGCCACTGGTATTTGGAGACAATTCTTTATTAGTTGTAACACTTCAACATCCCCCGACACACACACACACGCTCACACACACTCACACACGCTCACACACACTCACACTCTCGTTCCTTTGTGTATCAACCTTAAGATGCCGGGGAATAGTTAAGATCATGTCCAATAGGATTGATTGAGTAAACTCCATGGCTTTAGAGGTAGTACCATAGGGTTAGGGTTAGTACAGTGGGTTTAGTGTTTGCTTTGCTCATGGCTGACCCAGGTGCAATCAAATGGCCCTCTGAGCACTGCTGGGTGTGGCCCCCAAATACAAATAAATAAATCCACTTTTCCACAGAAAAAATTATAAAGATGCTGATAATGGTGAGAAAATGACAACATTTGGGCTTTCTAAAAGTATATTCTGTACTTGATACATTCCCAATGAAATCTTAAAAGTCAGAAAGTTATTCTCCTGCCATCTCTTTTGTAGGATGTTTATACGGAATGTTTAGATGCTAAACAATGATTAAATAATGGCAAATCTAGGTTGTGTTTTCCTGATCTGTATTTGTCCACATAGCCCTACCTTGGATTTTAATGTCTTGTTTCTAGGGACATTCAGGCCCAGGCCTCCCACACTGCACACTTGGAGACATCTCTGGGCCCCTGTTCTCTTGTTCTTAATTTGTCCTTCAACGTCCTCACTGATCCCAAAGTTGTTTTTTGCAATGCTCTTTAGTCTCCACATGGGTGTGGTTTTCCTGACTTTGCTTTTTGTTCGCAAATGTACAACTTAATCCAAAAATATGCACAATGTATAATTTTCAGCATAGAAATTAATTTTTAAAACATTTTTAAAAATTTAGTTGAGTGACCATGAGATACTCAGTTACAAAGTTGATCATGATTGGATTTCAGTCATACAATGTTCCAACACCTGTCCCTTCACCGGTGCACATTTCCCACCACCGAAGTCCCACCCCCACCCCCCACCCTATGGCAGACAACTTTCTTATCGCTCTCACTTTTAGGCACTGTGGTTTGCAATGCTATTACAGAAATGGTATCAGGCATGGCACTTTACCTCCCTTCAGCACCAGTTTTTGTCCAGAGTGATGATAATTCCCGACTACCACTGTCCTAGTGGTCCCTTCTCTGTCCACACTGCACTCCCCCTCCCCCTTGATGACAAGCTTCCTACCATGAACCAGTCCTCCTGACCCTTGTTTCTGTCTTTGGATATTATTCTTATGCCAAGCATATATATTTATATCCCATCACTTCACTTAATCACTTAATCCCCGTTATTTATCGATTTACTCAAGCGGGTGCCAGTAACGTCTCCATTTATCCCGGTTGCGTGCTAGTGTAGCCCAATGGCATCTGTTCGTTCTAGGAACATGCAGAGCCTCAAACCGATCATTCAGGGTCTTGACGAAGAAGTCTGACCATCTTGTAGGTGGGCGTCCACGCGATCTTTTGATGTCCCGTGGAATCCAATCAGTAATGGCTCTAGTCCAGCGGTTGTCTGCAAACCTCATTACATGTCCAGCCCATCTGATTTTTGATGCCTTGGAAAATGAGACAGCGTCCCTGATTCTTGAGCATTGACGAAGATCAGAACTCCGGATTCTATCTCTCATTTGAATGAATCATGATATTCTAAGCATAGCTCTTTCGATTCCTCTTTGAGAGACCCGAATAGTGTTCTCATCCTGTTTTCGTAGGGTCCAGGTCTCTGAGGCATATGTTAATGCAGGAAGAACAGTGGAATCAAAGAGATGTGCTCCTAGCTGGAGGTTCTTTGTCCTCTTAGTTATTTCTTCAACACTCTTGAAGGCATTCCAAGCCGCTCTCTTCCTCCTGCGCAACTCAGGTGCCAGGTCATTCATCATGTTGATTTCTCGACCTAGGTATATATAACTGTTGCATTTGGAGATGGTGGTTCTGTTGAGAGCGAATGGAGCGTCAGGAACAAGGCTGTTTCTCATAAACATTGTCTTCGTAAGATTCAGCTGTAATCCGACCTTTCCACATTCACGGTCGAAGTCAGTCAGCATTTGTGCCACTTGGCTGATGTTTGGTGTTATTAGAACGATGTCATCAGCAAAGCGGAGGTGCTGTAGTTGCCGACCATCTATCTTCACTCCCATGCTTTCCCATTCCAGTCATCACATGATGTTCTCGAGGGTGGCACTGAAGAGTTTTGGTGAAATGGTATCACCCTGCCGAACCCCTCTCTTGACATGGATGATTACTTCTTTGTAGAATGGTGAGATCCTGGTAGTGAATCCGCAATACAGCTCACGGAGGATCTTGAGGTATTGGGCTTGAACACCCTGATTGGCTAGGGCTTCAATAACCGCTTCTGTCTCAACAGAATCAAAGGCCTTCTTTAAATCAATGAACATTAGACAGAGCGGCATCTTGAACTCCTGAGAAACCTCAATGATCTTAGTAATCATGTGGATATGGTCGATGGTACTGAGTCCTTTTCAGAATCCGGCTTGTTCACATGGTTGTCCTTCATCTAGTGTTCTGCTAATCCTACTCAGGATGACTCGAGTGAACAGTTTGTAGATGACAGACAATAGGCAGATTGGGCAATAGTTGCCAATGTCGTGGATGTCTCCCTTCTTGTATAGTAGTACAGTCCTGCTGGTTTTCCATTGGGATGGAACCTTGCATTCAGACAGGTAGCGTGTGAAGAGCCGAGCCAGTGTATTGATGAGTACTGATGGTGATGATAAGTTCTTCAGGTGTTCAGGTCTGATCTTGTCTGGGCCAGGTGCTCTTTGTTTCTTTACCGACAAGATGGCATGTTGGATTTTGGAAGGGAGAACATTGGGAACGACATATCCATCATGTGGAATGTGGTATGTGGGCAAGTGGACATGGCTATTAAAAAGATCTGAGTAGAAGTCATGAATAATCTTCTCCATTGCCCTTCTGGAAGATGTGATAGATCCATCATGATGTCGGAGGGCAGTCATCTTGGTCTTGTAGTTGGTGAAGGACAGGCGGGCATTACAAATGCTTTTCCCGGCTTCTGCCGCATCTACCAGCACTGCTGCTCTCCTGTTTTTGAGGTCATCCTTGATGGCTTCTCTGCATTGTTTTGCCAGCTCAGACGTTTGCTTGTGGTTGCCTGAGGCATGTGCCAAGCCATGTTGGTGAATAAGCTCAAGAGTGTTCGAAGAAAGGCGGTTTTTTTGTGGTTATCTCTCTCTTGGCATTCCTCGCACAATCATGGAGGTGCTGAATCATTCAATCGTATTCCTCATCAATGTTGTCAATGATGGCATCTTCCCATGTTGCCGCAACAGAGCCAAAGAGCTCCCAGTTGGTGGTCGTTCTGGGAATTCTCTTCTTAAACTCTGCATTCTTTTCTCCTCGTTCTGTGAGGTAGAATTTTGCACGAAGGAGACAGTGGTCTGATCCCGTTTGGAATTTTGGGACAACAGCAACATCGGTTAGGCAAAACCGCCGATTGAATATGATGTGGTCTATTTCATTGTGGAACCGTCCACCGGGAGACTCCCATGTCCAACGTTTAGATTCAGCCTTTTGGAACTGTGAGTTACCATGGAAGGTCTTGGTTGACATGATGAACTCAGACAGTCTCTCACCCTGTTCGTTCCATAAATTTATATCCCATAAATGCATGCAATCATTCTATATCCCTCTCCCTCTGATTCATTTCACTTGGCATGTCCATTCGTGTACTTTTTGGTTGAAGCGCATGATAATCTATTAATGATAGGATTTAATGCATACTTTTAATGACCGAGAATTTATTGGGACTTGTTAGATGTGCCAAGATATATCCATGAAATGGTTCCGCATGCGTCAGAGATGAACATGGATCCAAATGTTTTAGGGCAGATGCACTGTACACAGACAGTCGATTCTGACCCTCTGCTAGCTTTATGGACTGGGACAGTCAGCAATTGCCCACAGTTAAGGAAATTCTTGGTGACTATAGCACAAGTTCTCTACTCCTTTCTCCCCCTCTTCACCTTGCAGATTACTCACAATTCTTTTTTTTTTTCACAATTCTTTTTTAAAATTTTTTTTTATTAGTGAAACACCATGAGGTACAATTGTAGACTTACATATTTTTGTGCTTGGGTTTCAGTTATACAATGTTTGAGAATGTCCTTTTCCTCTTAGAGAATTTCTTCATTTTTAATTTCATATTTGTTTTAAATTCACTTCAATCATTTCAAATGAGGTCTATTCTACTTCTAGAACTTTCTTTCTATAGAAACTTGATCTTATTTGTTGAATTAGTCAGATCCTGAATATTTTCTCTTTTCTTATTTGTATCTTCAATCATATTTCAGATCATCAATTATATTCTTCCATTTCAGGGTTTTACTGTACTGCCACATTTTTTTTCATGATCACGACTTTGAATGTTCAACTAGGTAACATATTTCTATATCTTAAAGATTGCTTTATGGAAAGTTGTCCTCTCATGATCCAATTTTACCTTGAAACCTTGTGCTTCTGGCAAGACAACATTCCCTGTCCATTCGGATATACAACAAGCTTTTAAGTAAATGCTTATGGGATTTTTATAATTTAAAATCTAATCATTGACTTAGTGTTTGGACACTAATTTTTGATTTTCTGGTGTGTAGGCTATGGCTATAGTATTCTTAATGTTGCTGCTGGCCGCCTTAGATGGCCCATAAAGCAGGACACAGCAGCGGGCACTGGCGCATTAGAGAGAGAGAACCACCTAGGGGAGCACAGCAGCTTCTGCGGGAAGAACAGTTTGCCGAGCATGGTCCCACTGTTCTTTCACCTCACGGGGGTCCCAGATACAGACACCAGCGGGCAGAACACATCTGGGAGGGAAGGAAGAGAATGACCTACAGCAGCTTCTCTCTGGCCTGCCTGCGTGGGATGCTGACTCTGGGGGTGCCTCAGCATCTCTACTCGGGGCTCCACTAGAACCAAGACATGGGCCACCTACTGTTCTGCTCTCCCTCTGGCTGGGCCCGCAGCTCTGTCACCTTGGCCCCCACCAGGCTCCCGCCTCTCTGCCCCGGTGCACCCACTTGTCTGTACACAGACACCGGGTTTCGGCGGGGCCTTCCCGCCCAGCCTCCGCTGGTTTCTGAGGTGCAGGAGAGGTGCGGAGTCCCCACACTGCAGGAGCCCCTCCATGCTGCCTGCTCCTGAGCACGTTCCCCTCAGGAGGGACAGGAAAGCCGGACGTGCCTGCCAGCATGCCAGTGCCATCTCTCCCCAGAACAACTTTGTACTGCAGCCCATCACATCCCTGCTGCCGACATGCCCCCGTTCACACATTATGAGTTTCTTAATCACTATAACCAGAAAGAAGGGAAGAAAAGAAGAAGGGAGGAAGGCAAGCAGGGAGGGAGGGAGAATCCTGTCATTTTGCATACTCAAAAGGACAAACATGCATTTTGCTAAATTCCTTAACCAATCACCTCGCACTTCCCCATATTCTGTGAAATTTTCCTCTTTTTGTTTATTCAAATTCTAGCCTTTGATTC